CCAGCCGTACGAGGTGTACGTGCCCACCAGAACGCTCCCCACAATAAACACACTGTGACACCCTGCCTGCCTCTGCCTCTGTCCAGCCACGGCTGGTGTCCCCCTGCCCGGGGTCCCACTCCAGCCGGGATCCCACAGCACCCCTTTCCTTGCACAAGCCCCACCGAGCCCAGGAGGGGGGAACCCCTTGTTTTAAGGCCCTCCAGGCCCCGCACGTGGCTTGCCTGGTCTTTTTTGCTGTAGATGCCTTGGCCGATGGCAATGGGGGGGAAGCAAGAGGTGTTTCCCCAGGGAGAGGAGTCCCAGCTGGAGCCTGCTGCACCCCGGGCTGCACCAGCACCCTTGCAGCCACCCGGCTGGTTTTCCAGGGGAGCATTTCCCTGTCCCCCAGGTATATAAATATGCATGTGAAAAACCACCAATTAAGCTCACAAATAAAGATCATCTCAGAGGTAACACACACCCCGGGGCACAGCCGGCTTTTGGGAGCTGGGTTTGACCTCGGTGGCTGCAGGGCCTGAACGTGGTCCCTTCCCCGGTGCAGCCCCCGCAGCCGATCCGGCCCTGCCCTGGGTGCAAGGCAGGGCAGAGCGCCCAGTCCTGGAGCCCAGCCCTAACCAGTGCCGCAGCAGGGCATGGCCACGCTCCTCTGCCTCGGTTTCCCTACCGGGAATAGGCAGGCTTTAAAGCCAAGTGGGAAGCGCAGGGAGCAGCTGCAGAGGGGGGTTGGCACCCCGACGGTGGCCGTGACTGGGCTGGGGGAGCCAGGGTGCCCTGGACCACTGCTGGGGATGCATGGCCAAGGGGAAGGCAGCCCAAGGAGGTGACACCAAGTCCAGCAGGGAGGATTCCGAGCCCTGCTCTTGTTCCGGGCAGAAGAAGCAGCTTCTATTTTCTCCCGAGCATCTTGCAGTGATCCACGCCTGCCGCAGAGCCCTGGCCCTGGTTCAGCAACATGCCCGAGCGGGTGCTTAAGGTTAAGCGCACATGTAAACCCAGGTGAGGCGTGCCGCGGAGG